AATTTCTTGAGGATAAATAACCGAATAGTTTTTTAAGTAATAAAACATTCGATTGCTTCGGGGTCGATTGACTTTCATTAGATCTGGCTGAAAAGCGGCGATCGATTGACTGCGGATGGAGTAATCTAAATCTCTTTTTAGGATCAAGTTAATTTTAAAAATGTAATTTCTGAAGTGAACAAAAGAAGCTAAAGGCGTCTTTAATGACATCCGCAGAAAATGGATTTCATTGTGTTGCTGCACACTAATAAAAAGAATTAACATTTCAAACAGTTCCAGCAAATAGACAGTGCCTTAAAACGAGGCCTTCGCCATTCGCCGCGCTAGCCGGTCCGATAGTTCGTCATACGTAAAACCAGGTGAAGGCAACAATGAAAGAATAATAAACAATTACTGGATGAGATTTTTGTGATATCCGGAATAATCAAGATCGAGGTAAGTGTTATCAGCCGAGCTGAAGGCCGAGGCTGATAACACGTACCGCGAGATCTTGATTATTTAGGATATCACAAAAACCGAATCTAATAATTGTTTTATTATACATTGTTTTGACGAAAATAACGACAAACACACCGTCACATGGAACCCGCTGAATTGATATAATTGTTATGGGAAATCATGAATTGCGCGCGCAACCCACAGATTTGTCAGTTCTCTGCGCTGATTTAGCTGTAGGCTCTTGGGCAATGAGAAGACACGTAACGAGTACAGTGCATAATAAGCTACTGACGTATGGCCAATGAGAAGACAGGTAATAAGTACAGTGCATAATAAGTTACTGACGTACAATCTAAGAGGGTAATCGTCAGTTATTTTGAGGTTTTTTGCAGCTGACAGAGTTTTCAAAAAAATATTAACCAGGTGTGCACAACACGAACAAATTTAACTGTCATTTTATTCTCGTAAAACTGACATCTCTGACGGAAACTAAAGGGTAATCATGTGCCAGTTTAATCATTTGGGGTTGACGAGTAAACACGGCGAGTGAGTGGTTTTTAGTGTGGGTACATTTACACACATTTCATTAAAATAGGCCTTTTTGGTCAAGTGACCAATTAAAATTCAAAATCCTGATTTTTCAAAACTTCTGATTTCGAAACAAAAGTCACTTCTCTTGATTTTCTTCAGTCAGACACTGTCATTTGACACCTAAATTTTCTACACGTTGATTTTCTCGAAATCCTCTTTATTTCGAACTCTACTATTATAATTATTATTTGGGCGTCCGAGATGGCTTGTTTTGATTCAAAGTTGCAATAGGCACGCAATACGGGGTTTTAAAATGCTGCTTGTAACTAGAGGGCATCGTTTACGAGAGTGGTCGCAGGAAAAGCTCCGACTGTATTTACTTTTTTTGCTAAAGGGAGGTGACATTCCACCCATAACATTTTCCTCATCCGCACTGGTTGTAACCTGCTTGTATCTACACAGAGGAACACTTAGACAAAACACTACTGAATACCTTTTAAAAGAGGATTAGAACATTTTAAAAAGGAGGTATTAACATCCCACAGTATATGGTACCCTGGCTACCAGAGGTTTTTTTTAAGACTTAACCGAAACCGGAAACGACAAACCACGCATAGAAAGCCTCTGTCACCAAGGGTAACAGTATGGCAACATGGACTCCAGCTGTGCACATCTCTTTTTTTTTTATTGATTTAGTTCACTTATATAACCAATCCTACATGGTTGATCTCAGTAGAGCACAACCTAAATTAACATTTCATTTATTCGATAATTTAATACTAATCTGCTAATCTGCTACCTAATACTACACTACAGCACAAGACAATTCAACAACTTCATATTCAAAGTTTTTTTTAAGTTGGCTAGAATCTCCCTCCACTTCCTGCAATCGTATTTTCAGTTATTCCTAAACGCGAGCACTAAAAATTGACTTCCTAATGTGAATCACTGAATTGTTATTACAGCTACTACATTCTAATATTAATATTCACTAGAAATTACAATTTATAACATTTTAAATTTTTGGCGATCCACAGAAGTATATCCTTGTTGAAATTTCCTAGAACCCTAGCAAAAAAGTATGACTTGTTGTGAGTACCAGTCCCCGAAAAAGCTAGAGTGAGCCAAATCAAGAGCCTGCTCGCCAGCATCACTGTCTAATCGAATTTCTTAAAAACAAAAACTAAACTACTGCTTATAACCTCTGGGCTTATACATCTTCGTAAGTGTTTTTTGGAGGGTTTATAAACGGGGCTCCTCTTTGTGAGAGCTTAATTAACCGCAATAGAAAAATTGCGTTTCAAAATTTGAGATCGAGACTTAAAGCGTTTTTATCAATTCCGAGCCCGAGACTCTAAGCGTAGAAAATTTCGAGATAAAGGTACAAGTAAAGCTAAATAATATAATCGAAAACGGCAATGGAAGCTAGCGGAAGCCCACCAAAATACCGCTTTATCTTGTTCTACTCTCTTAATCTACTAGCTCAGTTCGATAAGCCGTACCCAAATGAACTCTGAAAAATTTCGACTTCTGAAGACCAAACGGAAAGAAAAAAAGACAAATCGGAGACTCCGAGACGCAGAAATCACTCGAAAACGAGACTTCCGAGACACATAAAAAACGCTTCCGAGATTTCGAGATCGGGCCAAAACTTTCCGAGACCCACGGTTTTCGAGGTAGCATTCTGTTCCCCTACTTACTGGTTTTTAAATTAAGCTTCTAAACGTCACTGTAATCACTCAACTTTTATATCCAAGGGAGGGGTGGGGAGGCGTATAAGTGGAAGTTTACAGCAACTCTCGAGAGCACTCAGAGTGTATGTCTGTCTAGAAAATTGTCTTTGTGTCCATGTGATGTCCACATCTCAATGTTTGAAGAAATTCTCTGCCAGATACTCTTTGACTTTGGGCCAGATCACGTTGGTCTCTGTTCCAGAAAATGACTTCAGTAAACTCTTTTTACTGCAAGTTTGAAAGGAATAGAAAGGAAAGACAGGAATAAGTACAAACCAGCCATCCATGTTGAGAAAATTATGTCGAAGTGCATGTATCGCAGCATTATACATAACCTGCTGAAGACAGGAACACAATTTGGCAATCTGAGGGAGGCAAAAGATCTTAATGCCTCAGCGATGAGGGAAAACCTCATCCAATACAATCTTGACCTTTCACGGTCAACAACAACAATTTATTTTCTTGCAGCAAAATCAATACAGTCATCATCAAGAGGAAACTTAAGAGAAAATGCTTTGATCTTTTTTCAAATTCTCTCCAGCAAATATTCTTTAAGGAAATGTATGGAGCTGAGATTGGAGAATTTGTATGTGGATGGAGTAAGACCCTGAGCACTGGGCCAGCCTCTGGGTATTCCAGTTAAAAAAAAAAATGTGTGTCATGTAGCAGCTGCTTGTAAGAGAAGTCACCAATGGTGCGTTTCCCTGACGCCAAACAATACTAAAACAATTGGGAAGAATGACATGTCATTGTTTCCTGAGACCAATTAGGAGAGACCTTACCAGCAGCTCCTACACTACTCATTTTTTGTCTCCAACTGAGGCAGCAGAACGGTCATTTTATGTGGTCATTTGAGCCACACAGAATGACCATTTTATGTGGTCATCTGAGCTACCTGAAGGTCTAGCCGCTTGCAATGCAAGCAGAGTACGTCATTTCACAGTTATTTTAAGACCATGAGTATTGGTCCATCCATGGGAATCAAACTTGGACCTCCCGCCCTGCAGTCAAGCACTCAACTGACTGAGCTAATCCTTCCAATCTGCATATTAAGTTCATTTTCTCTAAGATGGACATGTTGGGACCATCTTAAAGAGACAGTCAGGTGACCAGCTAACAGAGAATCAAAGAAAAATGAGCAGACTAAGAATCTTGATACTTAATTCTCTCCAAACAGTTTTCATAAAACAGAGAAAGGTGAACTTACCTATAGAATTCAAGTAAAGGTTTTGTCATGTCTTCATACTGGTTTAATCTTTGTTTCACAGTCTCTGGCTATTGTATAAAGTACAAAAAAAGAAAGAAAAAAATTCAAAGTACTTCCACATAAACTGGGTTAAAGTGTTCAGATTGAGGTGTGGTGCCTCCTCTGATCATAAAAACAAAACTTTGTCAAATACACCCCCTCTCCTCTCCCCATTAGGGATCAATATTATTATTAATACGCACCAGCTTTCCCGATGCATTCTCCGTTCTATACAGAAGGTCATAAGTAATTTTGTAATATTTATACAAATTTAGGGCAAACAAGAACTACGTACATTGCAAAATGTTTATTAGTTGACACAGAACTGAGTGTCAGCATTGTTTTATATATGCTTATATAGTACTTATCATTAACATATTTACTCTGTGCCCACCGCCCCTGATTAATTGTTGCCCCTGAGTATTAAGTGCTGCATTTGGTATGAATAAGTTAATAAGCACCACCCCAAAAAAAGCACAGCGGCCCCGATATAATCAAAATCAAAAGATTTTAATTCTGTTCATTTAATAAAGAAAATAACAATACCATTGTTAAAACAATTCTTTGTCGCATCCAACTTTCAAATGAAGGCTCCCCTCAAATAAGTTCCAAATTTGAGGCATGAAACATTTAAAAAGCACCACTGCACTTGTTAGTAAATAATTATGGTAATCACCGCGAAAATGAATGCAGCTAGTCATTATGAGAATAATATGTAAATTTAGCCAAGGCGAAGCTCCCGTTAACAAATAGACATCCACGTAAAGTTGAACCTGCAATCAATCGAAAACTAGTAACTTGTCCACGGTGACCTTCAAAAAAACACGTCACCACAATGGGTCGACACCTGAGCCCACAATACCGTCATGTGATACTGGTCAGGGGAAACCCTGTTTTGACAGCTGTCAGTTGACCACAGCATGGATGTGCAATAACAGGTTGGAGGCCCAGAGGCTACCACACTAGCTAGAAAGTTTAACACTTAATGTTGGTTCCCCTGTGGTGAAGACAGACAGGTGGGTCAAGCGGACATATTGTCACGTGATTACCCAAATTTCTCAGATGGATAGACTTCAATGGGGCTCTGCTCACATGCATGAAGTGTGCGCATGGAGCTATGTTAAAACGACATTAATATGCTCTCAGGGGACTGCATAAAAGAGGATACTAACCTTATCATCATCTCTCTGAACAAGATCTTCACCTGTTTCATCATCTTTTCCCTATGAACAAAGTTGTACAGTTGTGCAGATTACAGGAAGTTTAATCTCAGGATTTATCTAAAGCTTGTCCATTAAGCCAATCATTTGCAGGAATAAAATTAATATTACTGTTACTTGGGAATTTTGATAGCTTGCGAAGAAGTTATTGCTATTACTATTATTGCTTTTAATATTACGTAGGCAAAAACAGATTATTATTATTATTATGTCATCTGGGTCATTATTACATACATTTTTGACTTACTGGTACTTTTGGAGGGTTAAAATCCAAGTTATATGTTCTCCCACTGCCAGGATGAATCCAGCGCTTCTGCAAACAAAAATAATAGTAATCATACGCTTGTCTAATAATAATAGATATAATAATTAGTAGGTAGCAAACCTCACATAGGAATTCCTGAGGGGCACTTCCCTGTAAAACATGGGTGCCGTGGGGATGCTCATGGATAAATTAATTTAGGGGTTAAAATTGGTGTTGTTGTACAGCTCTACACTCCAAACCACCCCCCCCTCCTGCCCCAGGATAAAAAAAAAGACTACTGCAGTTTCACATGATTGAAAGTAAGCATTCAAATTTCCAGGGTTTAAGAGAGAAGCAGGATAATTTGTCTAAAATCAAAAGATCTAGTCTTTAATCATGTTAATAAAGCAGTGGTAATTGACAAGGAGAAATTACATGACGATGCTCAAGTCTTGATCAGAGTTGCTGAACTAACAGAAATTTAGATAATTTTAACCAGTTTATAGAAGGATTAAATAAGATTGATTTGTCAGGGAACTTACTGAAATTCTATCTATTATGGTCTCAAAAGGGACATCAAGATTCACGACAACATCTAGTTCCTGTTTTTCTCCCAACTTTTCAGCCTGGACAACAGTCCTTGGAAAACCTGTTAACAATAATTATTCAATGAGCTCTCAATCTTGATCAGTCACCTTAGTATTACATAAGGAGGTCTCCTTTTGGTCCCCAACCCACCCTTCCCCACCCCTATAGGTACCCACCAACCTCTAACCCCTCCCCCCTGCAACAAACACTTAAGCCAACAAGAAGTCACATTAGTGTTGCACCTGCATTCACACTCAAGTACAGTACATCAAAATGCATGTAATATCAGTCCTAAATGGTAGAGGTGCTGTGCTTGATCTTCCAAAGGTACATGTACGTGTGCATCTTAGCTTTCAAGAGTGCTAGCAGCTAAAGATAATGTTTTGATCTTAGAAGACCTTTCTCCACCAAACCTTTACCTCATGGTCTATACATGTAACAAGATTTATAGCCATCCAAGTTTTCATTCAGCAGGGCACAATAAAAGGTAAGAATTGGGCAAGGCTTGGATGTGGTTTCTGAAATTTTTATTATTTTTTTTAAATTAGCCATTTCTTAGTCTGAAGAGACACTAAGCAGTTGTCTAATGGGGGCACCTGAGGAGGTGGGGGGGTTGGGTTTCCTCCCTTATTTGGCGTAAACGGGTATGTGCCGCTGGACAGGGTATGGTTTTCAGGGTCTTGGTGATGAGCTTATTGAGATTTCCAGTTTTGGTATTGTTGACTGTGTGCTCCACAGATCATACAATTCCTTGCAAATGGGATGTTTCAGATGAGAGGTTTTTTGTCCTTTGGGAATTAAGCAATATTATTAGGAAGAATTTGACAGTTTTGTTAAATCAAAACATAGAATACTTTTTTGTTCTTGTCAGGCATGAAAGCACGAAATCATGCCAGTGTAGCAATATGGGTGTGACTGTAACTAAAACTTTCCTTCAGCTGTTTCTAGACCTGTTATAATTTAACATATAAAAGACACAAACTGGAACAAGGAAAAAAACAATAACAAGGACACTTTGAACAAACTTAAAACAAGAGAAGCTAAATAAATCGCTGAGAGATTTGAACGGTCTCTTTTTTCACACAGCAAGGGCTAAGCGGTTATACAGTGTAAGACCCGTGAGTGTATGTTCAGCTCTCTCGTTAAATCTGTTCCTCACTTAAAGCTTTCCATGTCATAACAGTAAACATTTATGATAGTCTAAAGTTAGCTTCTGCATCATCCAACAATATTATGTGTATTACGAAGCTGATGCGTAAATTGGTACTTGCACGATCTTAGCTTTGTGCTACTCTTTCCAATTAAGCTACAAGCCTTCTTTTCTTTACTGGTAAATTATGAAAAAATATATATTTTTCCAACTCTATCTAAGCATGCTAAAAGCGTTCTAGTCTTACCATCTAAAAGCCAGCTTCCCCCTGCCAACTCCTTCATTTTGCTGAGTATAAGTTCGATCATGATTTCATCGGGAACAAGGCCACCTTTTTCCACGATCTCCTTCGCTTTTAAGCCAACCTCTGTACACTCTTTAATCTGTGATCGAAGTACGTCCCCGCTCGACAAGTGAGCAACACCGAAAGTGCTTACGATTCGATCAGAAACGGTCCCTTTACCCGATCCTGGAGGACCCATTATAAGGGCACGCACTGGTTTTGAAGACATACTCGATAAATGTATTTGACGTTCTTGCTTGATTTGGTTACTAAGGGCTGATCGAATCGAATGAAGTCGTCGAACAGCGTGCATTTTTTAAGTTTCTGAAAGATGGAATATTTGGCCGAGTCAGCACTGATGACTGGGAACGAAAACATTACGCTGACAAGGTTCCCTGCGGGCTCGAAAAATTTTGCACGTGTAGATTCAAGATGGCGGATGCCGAAAGCCAGAAGAAAAGGTATTGCTTTTTCACTTCGATTCTAGCTTTCCTTTAGCTTTTTTCGAGCCGCCTAGACTCATATGTGTCATTGTTATGATGTGGTAGGTTATTTTAAGGTAACGAAATGTCTTGCATTATTTCTAAACCACCACATGTACACACTTTGGGGTCTGACAGTCTAATTACAAACATAAACGCGTAAACTAGTACACCCTATTGAAAGCTACTTATTCTAACTCATAATCAAAGTGCTAAAATAGAAACAGGTACACGAAACATAGTACGTATACGATAAGAAGACTGTCCGTGGGAGCGGTGGGAGGGCAAAAGAAAATTTAACTTGAAAGCTTGGAAGCTTGCTAGACAGCAGTGCTTGACTGCTTGCAAAGACTAAAATGCGTATTACCCTAGTTCTGCCAGCGCTAAGAATTGCTACGCTCTAAACTTGTCGCTTAATGACTGGTTACTAAAATATCTTGTGACTATAGCTGGATTGTATTAATTTTACTAAACTGGTGTACTTTTCCTATGACCAAGAAGACCCGCCAGGCACCCCGTGCAATCGTCGGATGGTGGTCTAGATTTATATTAATCAGGGTCGACCAGCGGGGGGTGTTAGTGGTATACCAGTATACCTGGAAAAAATTTGCCAAAATACCCAAATATACCCAAAATTCATCCAAATATACCCAAAATTATACCCAGGTATACTTTATACCAGAAATTCAAAGAAAGTGATATACCGAATACCCGTATTTAAGCTGCAATATACCGTATACCTGATTTGAAAAGCCCCTGTATACCATATACCCAAAAACCCTGGCCGACCCTGATTAATACAAGTATCAATATCCACATTCATTATTTAAAAAAAAAGATGGTTGTAACATGTAAATAAAACCAAAACCTGTTTTAGAACTCGAATGACGGCAACTTGGAGGATACGTTTTCGTTTAATTCTTTAATGCCCAAAGACCTACTTAAAATTATTTTTTTTTTAGTGAAATTCATGCACCTACTGTGCATGGTTTTGGTCAACATAATGGTCTATTAAATGTGAATAATAAGCATCAAATCTATGTTGTTGTAGTGTTGTTTAAAATGGGCGATTCCAGAAAATATCCATACCATACCACGGACGGCTTTAAGGATTTCCGAAGGGGAGGGGGGATTCACGATTATGGAATTCTGAAGGCATGGGGGGGTATTTACGATTTGAAATCCGAAGGTATGGGGGAATTCCACAGGTGGGATTTCTGGAGTAGAAAGTGTAGAGTAAGTTCTTTTAAAACGCTATTGTTGTGGACTTTTGTAGTTCGTAAATAAACCACGAACGTATGACCGCGGAAGCAGAAGACAAGCATTGATAGATCAGACACGTGTTTACGCTCATAACTTATAGAAGTGAACAGTAAAACGTTGGTTTCACATTTACCTTGATGAATTTCTTGTCACGTGAATAAAAACTGAAAATGTATCTTTTAATACCCCTTGCAAATTTCTTGTTACTCCCGAACCGTCCGATAAACAGTAAAAAACTCGCACCAGTCCCTCACTTCCAAGGAACGCCTGTCAGATTAGAACGCTTTTCGTGCGCACTACATGACGTATAAAAGGACACAACACGACTCGACGGTATATTTGACCGCCAAAAGATTTTAACAGTCTGTTTGAGCTATTTTCCTTTGTAAACGTCAAAACAGCACAAGAAAACAAAGAGGAGTAAAATTACCTTAAGTCGTGTTTATTTTTATAGCCAAATTCGGACTTAAAAAGGAGTTTGCACGGCCTGGCAACTAGCGTAGGTTTTTCTTGTCACTGAAGAGTAAAGCTTGTCACCTGGCGCCGCTAGATCACAGCCTTGAGGAGGCATAAATTCATGTTCATTTGTTCTTATAGGCGTCGCTAAGTCGAAAATGTACTTCCAAAAAAAACCGGAAATTCTGAAGGGGAGGGGGGGTTCACGACTATGGAATTCTGAGGGCATGGGGGGGTAGCGCATTTTGGAATTTCCGAAGGCAAGGAGGGGTTAAAACATGGAAGCCGTCCGTGGTTGGGTATGTATATTTTCTGGAATTGCCCAATTGAATTTCAAGAGAAACTGATTTAAAACTAGACTCATTTGTTTTTGATGCTGTTGGTTTACTATTTTTTTAATGATTTTGGTAGTAAATCTATCACAAATTAAAATGCAGATCAAATAAGTTTGAGTCGTTTGACGTGAAATTCATTCTAAACGGTCGGACAATATTAACTTGGGACAACAAATCTGCAAACATCAAAGTCTGACAGACCCTGCAAGCAGAGGTTTCTCTATTGCATGGGTTTAGTGTTTACGAAGTCATTCACGTGCCTTGTCTGTCTCACGGGGCGTAAACAAACCAACTTCGCGATAGACAAGCCACAGAAACAACTTCGTAAACGCTAAAAGCCATGAAAGAGAGAAACGTTCTACGTGCAGGGTAAGTCTGACAGAATGGTACTCTTTCAAATTAGCCAACTGGGCAATTGATTATTGTTTTTTGTTTTACTTTTCAGTGTCTCAAAGAATTTTAAGAAAAAAAGTAAAGGTAAAAGTGATGATAAGAAGCTGAAGGTGAAGCCAAAAACGTTTCCCAAAGAAATCAAAAGTGATAACTCAGTAGGAGTGAAAAGAAAAGCTAATGACACTGATGGTGTTGGAACAAAGCAATTCAAAATGAAGAAGTGGAAAGGTGAGGAACAACATGACACCAGGAAGAAAGGATTGTTAGGCAAGGACAAAGAAAACAAGGAAAGTGATTCTAAAGTAAAACAAAAGTTTATCAAAGGGTCAAAGAAAAGGAGTGAGAAAGGAAAATTTGACAGTGACAAAACAAGAAAACGGAAACTTGATGCTGATGGTGGACAAAGAGATTCTGTCAAGAAGAAGAAGTCTTCTGAAGTCGAAGAAGGTATGACTCAAATGCAGTGATAAAAAGGGTAAATGTTTGTTAATTTTTATTGTGGCTACTGCCTTCTTTTAGGGAAGGCGTAGCCACTATGTTGGAGTTCAGTCAGTTAAGTCCTTAAATGGGTAAGTCAGTCACTCAGTCAGTTAGTAAGTAAGAAGGTAGGTAGGTAGGAAGGTTGGGGGGGGGTTAGTAGGTAAGTAGGTAGGTAGGTAGGTACAGTACATTTAGGTATAGGTAGTTTGGTTGGTCTGTCGGCCAGTCAGTCGGACAGTTGGTATGTTGGTCAGAAAGTAAGCAGGTATTAAAATGTAAGTAAGCATTAATTTTTGAGTTTATAAGTAACTAACTTGAGTACATGCACAAGGAAGTATACTTACTAGCCAATGTAGTTAGTTCATGGGTAGTCCACCAAAGTAATCATTCAGAAATAATCAAATTGGACAACTTGAAGGAGAAAAACCAATTGGCTATTTTGCAAGCAAAATCTGATTACCGTAAAAACTCGTGTATAAGCCGCACTCGTGTATAAGCCGCACCCACCCCAACTTTCAAGCATGATTTTGAAAAAGAAAAACAAACAAAAATGCGCTTTTGTAAAAAAGGTGATCATTTGTTGGCACATCAAAATGTTCACAAATAAACTTGAGGAAATTTAATGTTGTGTCTTTGCAGTGACATTTTAAATAAGTTAATCAACTCTGAAAATACCTTTTAAAAGGTTCTCTTTAATCAATTTCCCCATTTCCTGCGAAAGACAACAGTTCTCTTCATTGCTAAAGCCCACAGTTGAAATGAAAATGGAACGATGGAACGAAAATAAAGCGCTGGAGAATGCTACAAAACAATTGCTTAGTAACCATGCGTTTATTTGACGAGGGAAGTCTGGACACCAGAGAAGGACGAAACGGTCGGCCATTTGCCTCGCAAATTCTCTCGAATAGCGTGGTATTTTCTTGCACGTAGTGCGGAAATCAGCGTTGAAGTGATCGGTCGCAGACGACACTGTAAGCAGCTGTGCTGAGGAATGGAGATTCCGTGCCAGTTAGAGTTTAACTGCTCAAACAAAGCGCAGATGAAACGCTTAAAAGAACTACTGGCGAGCAAGATTCAGGTATAGAACCTGAAGATGCAAACAAACGGCTCCTTTAGGAGCCACCACTTCTACTGAAAGCAATGATCAATGACAGGTTTCAATAGATGGTTTTCACAGTGACGTCATCAAACTGTTAAGTCAAAACAGCGGGGTTTTACGAATTCTTATTTAGACTAGGTTGAAGATAAACAAAAAATAAGTCTTTGTTCCAAGTTTCCATTCCCGTAGCATGTTTCATTTCGAAAATACGGAAATACGAACTTCCGAGTTTTCACAGTGCGTGACACCAAAACAGGAATGCTGTCTCGTTGAAAAAAGTCTCTCCTCTTGATTTTCAGCATTATAACCATTTCAAGTATTGCAAGATATGTTTATGCGCACGTAGGCTGGTTCTCGAGTGAAAAGAAAGAGCTTTTATAGAAAAAGTGAACTCCAGATGTTTCGTTGATTTCCGGCGGCCATATTGGTGGACCAAAACGGTACATCAATATGGCGTCTCCATACAAAGCTCTACCAGGGTGCGTGAAACGTTTCGGCAAATAACTCAGAAACTGTGGGCCACAAAGACCTGAGACTTGGACAAATTGTTTATATATTAGTCTTTTGTAACATGTCATTTTCTCGGCTTCTTCCACTGGACGGTTTCCAATTTATTTTTTTGTTGCGTGACAGTGAAAACGATCTATATGTTTAATCTTTATTAATTTTACTGAAGGTTTTCAGTTCAATTTGTGACCCCTACAAGCCAGTTTACTCCCTTTGAGAGCAATGGTCTCGTGTATAAGCCGCACCCGCGATTTTGGACTCAAAATTTCGGCAAAAAGATGCGGCTTATACACGAGTTTTTACGGTATTTTTATTAAACCACTGACCAACTAATCTGTCTAAAAATAAATATTTCTATACGAGTTTAACATACAACTGCAAGCAAACCCTTTGATATAATTCCCTTAATAAATTAACTAAGCCAGTATCTCTTCCTTTTTCTGTATTTGTTGTACTTATGTATCTGTATATTTCCATGGCAACACAGGTTCTGACGACAAGCCCAACATTTGGCAAATGAAAAAGAAAGAAAGGAAGGACTTTCGTCGAAGACAAAATGAAGACTATGACCTGGTCCATGACCTTAAACAGCTTTATGAAACTATTAGGAGGTTGGTTTTCAGGCTGTAATACTGTAGTATATTATTAATGATTGTTAAGTAAAATTATCAATTTGGTGGATTTGTTATCATAACAACATGCTTGTTACTGAAGCTGACTCTTAGGTTGTTGTACTGATTTACATTGTTTTATTATTATTTTTTGTAACAGAAAAAAATCCTCTAAAGCCAAGAAAACTGAACTGGTAGAAAGGATTTTAAATCTTATTGCTGGCCACTCCCACCAAGTGAGTATACTTTTTCAAGCCCAAAGCAGGCACAAGGTGATGTTCTAACGTTCAATTTCTATCATGGTAACCAAGAAAATAGATCAGTTGGCATTGTCTTTCATTTTATAGGTGATTTTCAAGCATGATACAGGTCGTGTTATCCAGTGTTGTGTGAAATTTGGAACATCTGAACAAAGGCAAAAACTGTTTGAACAGTTTAAAGGTAAGCTTATTTTTTGCGGGGTAAATTTTTCAGTCATTTAAAAAAATTCACTTCTTTGTTAGAGAAGTACATTATTCTTCAAAAAAAAATTAACAGTTGTGAGTTGGAATTTAAGGATTTCGTATTATTTTGTACATTATATTTTTTCCTTCTGATTTCAGATGACTTAGGAGAGTTGATCAAGTCAAAGTATTCCAAGTTTCTTGTGAAAAATTTTTTGAATTATGGGTAAGGTCAAAGGATCACCATTATTTTAATAATTAATAGTGAATGCTTATTGGATAGAACAAAGTAAATTACCATGAAGATTCTTTTTTAATTAATGTATGTTACCTCATAATGCACAGAACAAAGAAACAGCGGGATGTCATTATCAAGTGCTTTTATGGACAAGTCCGCAAACTAATTAGACACAAGGTAAGTCTAGATTTTTCTGTTTAAAGTTACCATGAAACTTTCCATAAGCAGACTTCTTTGGAACCAAAAACAGTGTCCACTTGGAGATTTTCACTAAAGAAAGAATAGTATAAAAATGCAGTGTTTGTATGCATCTGGGACGATAACTACAATGTATGTGTCTGCTTTAATACCGGAAGTGTCTATCCATAGAAGGTTCGGCAACTTCCATAAGCAGAGGTTCATATGTTTACTTATATTCCTGAAGTTAAATTATGCTAATAATACATCAGAACTGTCATTAAGGGTGGTAACCCATGACACCTGTTACGGCTGAGCTCACTTGATGTTACAGGTGATCAAAGTAGAAAGCTAAAGGTGACACTACAAATTTTTGTGGGATGTTATGGGTGAATCTTCATTTGGTACGGCTTCTTCAAAACTCAATGACAGCCCTGATACACTGCCATAAATCCTCTTTTAAGTCCCCTGAGAAGATGAGAGGGAGGCATAGTAACTTTTCCCCTGAAAAAGGCAAGGGGTAATCAGAAAGGGGGAGGGGGTGGGGGTTAAATGTATTTGAGAGAAGGGAGGGGCTAAAAATAGGATTTATGATATTAGCATGAAGCATTCCTTTGAAGGCTACAGCTGTACATGTTAAAGAAAAATTAAGATGGATTTGCAGTGAGCTTCCTTCCCAAATTCCTTCTCCTCTTTGCTGTCACTCCAACTTTTGTGTTCATCTTGCATTTAGGCTATAAATGAAATTACTGATCTTTATATATTATATAAGCTCTAAATTTTTCTAGTTTTACAGATGTAAGGCAAATTGTGATTGTGTAGCTCCCTGAAGTTAATGAAATCCTGTGAAAGCACAGTAGCTCATGATGACTTGTTTTTTAACTTCAGGAAGCAGCATCAATTCTCGAAACAATTTACAGTGAATATGCAAATGCAGAGCAAAAAGCTTTCCTGATTCAAGAATTCTATGGAGCTGATTTTGCTTTCTTTAAGGTACAGTAGAGTATGACAAATTTATTTTTATTCAATTTAAATTGTCCCTTCTGTGTAGAATGTTGTTATTCATCTCAAAGCCCCAAAAATTAATGAGAAGCACACCCTCCCTGCAATAATGAGGGGCTATATTTACATTTTGCTGAAATTGACTCATGAAATGATTTGAAAGGATACATTTTAGTAATTTAGTAATTACCTGCTTTCTTTGCAGTCACCAGAACTAAACTCGCTGGAAAAACTGCTAACATCTGAGCCAGCCCGAAAAAGTAGAATTCTCAAATTCATGAAAGAAGCTTTGCTCCCTCTCATTGACAGGTAAGAAAAGTCAAATTTTGTTTGAATTTTGAATAAACAGGTTTCTTTAAAGAGTAAAGAATTTTACTCTAGTACTGCCTCATTGGGGAAGTGGAACAAAAGATTTCCAACACAGTGTCATTTTGAATCATGATATCGTTGGTGAGCATGATTCTTAAGCAATTGAAAAACTGTTGCCAAAGGCAGCACGTGGGTTGGGAACTTAAAAGGGAACAGACCACTAATATTCCTATCTACCTTTTGACACAGTTATATTTTCTCTACACATAGAAATTTAAAAGTGGAATTAGGAGTACTTCTGATAATTCATTTTTTTGTTAATTTGCTATAAATAGTTGAGGGTCCCTTATTTCAGCACCTCTAACTAGTTTCAGGCAATCAGATAGGGGATAATCTGAATGCCTGGGACAGGCTACGAGACGGCTAGCTTGTGTCTATGTGTCTGGTGGGATTTATTGCCCAAGATTGGATCATTCCACTGGTGCTTTTGTTGTCTTTGTTTTGGCTGTAAGGCCGAGGGAAGAATGGTAGGAAGATCTCCTGTGGTTTTGTTGTTCAGTTTGCACAGTGGCTTCACAGGCAAAAATTGCTCCTCCACTAACATGATGGTTGGTACCCATTTTTCCTGACTGTCATTGTTACATTTATCAACCTGATCCTGTCCTTTGCTTTTTCCAGATCAGTTATAGGTCACAGTATTGTTCATAGAGTCCTTCTAGAGTACCTCACATATGCTGACACCAGCTCACAACTGGTAGGTACAGTGCATGTATGAGGTGTCCATATTAAGTGGGTGTCCGTAAAGCAGGATTTGACTGTATTTATATAGCTACGGAAGTTAGTTACAGTCAAACCCGCGCTTTACAACACCAGCTTAACCCTTTAAGTCCCAATAGTGACCAAGATCAAATTTCTCCAAACAATATCCATACACTGTCAAGAGATAAGTTATGAGAATTAATAAAATGATCACCTAAGAGAAAATGCCTTGTTCTATTCTCAAATTCTCTCAACTCATTCTTTAAGGAAATGTATAGAGATCAGTTTGGAGAATTTGTGTGGGGATACTTGGGGCTTAAAGAGTTAATACGGACACTGTTATCATGGACAGTTTTCCTTGTCTCTAGCCCTTACATTTTCTCTAAATTTAATCCGCGTCATACGGACACCCCATTAATGTGGACACCTTCAATGGCCCCCTTAGTGTCGTTATTAAGAAACGGTCCAGCTAAGAACGATAGCAACAACGGCAACGAACATGCTGGAATGCAAAAAAGGTGCTAAATTTCTATTGTCTGTACTTACTTCTGACTGGCTTAAACGTCAAAAGTTAACAAAACTTCATAAAGCGGTACATATATTCATCCTTACTTTCCAATGATCTTCCATATAACAAAATCTGGTTTCAGTTTGAATAACAAAGAAATCCTATGTGGGGAACATGTAAAATTGTAAACTTTTCTTGGCTATTGTTTTCAACTCTTGTAATTGGTCAAAATCTTTTAACACAAAAAAACACTCTTTCAAAGTGGAGTGTAAATGCATTTTATTGCGTAAACGGCCTTCATGTAGGTTTATGAATTCTCTGTGTAAAAATGAGAACATTCCTATGTGGGGAAAGCACCGTTGCCGCATAACAAAAGAAATTGTTATCCACCTTACCCGGATCATTAGTTAACGGGTTTCACTGTACGTTAGAGCGATTTTCTTATGACCTTGAAAGATGGTTTCGGTAAGTGTTCGTTAAATGTTTTATCAGCCAATGGATGAAAGGATCAAAAGATGAACTCTTCGTTTTCCCACCAAAGGAAACCCTAATATGGAGAAGGCATTGTTTGATTGGCCTATCGTGTTGCAGTATGACGTCAAAGCGAAGTATTGATTGATTTCTAGAAAGTTCTCACGCGTGAAGCTTTTTCACCCGAGCGTTCGCTTAACCAACCAAAAGCCATGCGCGTTTGTATCTGTTCGATAAACCAATCAAATCGCTCTATTTCCGTTCGTTTGTTGTTTCTGTTTTGTTCGCGCGTTTTCATTTCAAGATCATTCGAAGACTTCGAAAATCGCTCTATTTATGTATTTATATTTTTTTCCAGGAAATGATAGAGATGATAAAGGAGTCTGTAGTTTTAATACTTCACACACATGATGGAGCGAGAGTTGGCATGCACTGTTTGTGGCATGGGACAACGAAGGTGAGATTTAGAAACTCTTGTGTATTCGATTAATCATCGCCGGGATTTGATAATTAAAGTCTGCGTATTTTTTGTCTTTCAGGATCGTAAAGTTCTTATCAAGTCCTTCAAAGGCTATTATGTGAAAATCTGCAAAGTACGTTTAAAATGTGTTAACCTTGTAAACCCCAATATCCAAATACAAATTCTCTAGACTGACCTCCGTACATTTCCCTAAAGAATTAGTTGAGAGAATTTGTTTGCTGATCAAAGCATTTTCCCTGAGGTGATCATCTCATTAATTGTCACAGCATTTTCTCTAGATTATGTCTTGATATTGCAGGACGAAAATAGACTTTGGTCACTCATGGGACTTAAAAGGATTAGAGCGATTTTCATATGACCTTGAAAAATGGTTTCAGTAATTTGCTCGTTATTTGTTTTGTCAGCCAATGGATGAAAAGATCAAAACATGGACTCTTCGTTTTCCCGCCGAAGAAACCCTAATATGGAGAATGCATTGTTCGATTGGCCAATCTTGTTGCAGTATGCCGAATTATCGGTGGATTTCTAGAAAGTTCTTCGGACACGAAGTTTTTTCACCCGAGCGTTTGCTTAACCAACCAAATCCCACGCGCGTTTGTATCCGTTCGATAAACCAATCAAATCGCTCTATTTCTGTTTTTTTGTTGTTTCTGTTTTGTTCGCGCGTTTTCATTTCAAGGTCATACGAAAATCGCTCTAACACTTACCAACTGCGGTTACGGTTTTTGTCCACACAAAACCTGCCTTGGGTTCCGGAGGGTTTTTGTTTTCTTCTCGCTCAGCTAGACCCGCATATGATTGCTTTGCGAGAAGATGGCAACGCAATGGCGTCGCTCTAGTGGCCCTGTGTGCGGTCTCGCCACAAGGGAGCGGGCAGGGGGGGATGTTTAAGGATGTTTGGTAGGGGCTTACCGCTGATACCTTCAAACCCCGACCCTGTTTAAGACAAAAACGGTCATTTCGCTACTAAACAAGTTTAACACGAGACATTTTTCATGATCTTTTTCACTGATTTCATTTCGCATTCATAATTTGGGATTTGACGTCACAGAGTTCGATGGCGTTACAGAAATTGTTGTTACCGCTCAAGTAGACCGTAAACCGTTATCGTTTACACCTTGTTTCAGAAATGAAAATCCTGTTTAAGACATAAAAAATAATAGTAAAATTGTTTTCCCTTCTCAAAAATAAAGAAAGTGAATAATGTGGAATCTCATTAGTTGCATACATAACTGTGATAATTCTCCACATGTTAAATCTCGTAGTCAGTGGTTGAGGGACGCAATGCGACCAAGTTTTCGCGTGTAGACGAATTCTGTGTACCCTACGTTTCTCTCTTGCATGTCTTTTAGCGTTTACCAAGTGATTCGCGTCGCTTCTCAGTCACGTCGTTTGGGAAGCGCCGCGAGTGACTTCGTGAACGCTAAAGACCATGAAAGAGAGAAACCTCTGCTTGCATAGTAATTCTTGTGTTGTGACCTTTCGAACGAAACTTCTTCAGCAGTACACTTTCGCTTAGCATTCTGCAGCACGATCAAAACTTATGCTATACTAAGGGTCTCAATGTTTTCTGTTTTTTTTTTTTCCTTTAGGAAGAGTTTGGTCATATGGTTCTTTTAGCGTTGTTTGATTGCGTGGATGATACGGTGCTAGTAAAAAAAATTATCATCCCGGTAAGAAATAAAATTTGTTGAATACCGTAAGTGATGCAATAGACGCCCGGGGCTTTTATTTAATTTTAAGGGTCCAAGAGGCGGCGTTTGATAGATAGGAGGTGTTTATTCTCAGAACTGTAGCGAGCTCAACAAAACCTATCAATAGACGGATCGAAACGCGCCAATTACTGATTACGAGTCTTCATAGCCAATAACATCACGGCTTAACGGACAGACGACCAATAACATCGCGACGTATTTGACCAATCAGATCAATAACCAGAGTATAATACCATCAACAGACGTGATACAACTCACTTTGACTTTGAAATGACTCCTGGGTTCAAACCTTTCACAAAACCAAAACTATTATGCTTTGTGAGAAAATATCAATAATACCGTGCTCTTTAAAATCTCAACCTCGATGTTAGGGTTATTTTGCTGACATTGTGTGCCTATCCTTTCTTTGTTCTTGATATTGAAAAAGAGAGAATTTGCAAACCTTCGTCAATCAGGCAAAATACTGACAAAATTAAATGATTTTGCTTCTTAGACAAGTGAATGGGAACCCGTGTCTTTTGCTCTTTTGTCAGGCGGGTTTCCATTGTACAACTTAGAGTTTGTTCTGTTTGCTTGTAGGAGATTATGCCATCCCTTCACGAGTTAGCACTAGACACGTACGGTAGAAAGGTGTTAATGTACCTGTTGTTACCACGGAGTCCTGCACACTTCCATCCTTTTGTTGTGGAGCTACTTAAGAAAGGAGATGGAAACTCTACTAGGTAAATGCAAAGGAAACACAAGTAACGGTTATTCCCTCAAACGACCACCCCTAAGCAACAGCCATCTCCCCAAACGACCACCCCTCAACATCACCCATCTCCCCAAATGACCACCCCTAAGCAACATCCATCTCCCCAAACGACCACCCCTAAGCAACAGCCATCTCCACAAACGACCACCCCTAAGAAACATCCATCTCCCCAAACGACCACCCGTAAGCAACAGCCATCTCCCCAAACGACCACCCCTAAGCAACAGCCATCTCCCCAAACGACCACCCCTAAGCAACATCCATCTCCCAAACGACCACCCCCAAGCAACAGCCATCTCTCCAAACAACCACCCCTAAACAACATCCATCTCCCCAAACGACCACCCCTAAGCAACAGCCATGTCCCCAAACGACCACCCCTAAGCAACAGCCATCTCCCCAAACGACCACCCCTAAGCAACAGCCATGTCCCCAAACGACCACCCCTAAGCAACATCCATCTCCCAAACGACCACCCCTAAGCAACAGCCATCTCCCCAAACGACCACCCCTAAACAACATCCATCTCCCCAAACGACTAACCCAAAGCAACAACCTTCTCCCTCAGCGACCACCCCTAAGCAACGGCCATCTCCCCAAACGACCACCCCTAAGCAACAGCCATCTCCCCCAAACGACCACCCTTAAGCAACAGCCATCCCCCCAAACGACCACCCCTAAGCAACAGCCATCTCCCCAAACGACCACCCCTAAGCAACACCCATCCCCCAAACGACCACCCCTAAGCAACAGCCATCTCCCCAAACGACCACCCCTAAGCAACAGCCATCTCCCCAAACGACCACCCCTAAGCAACAGCCATCTCCCCAAACGACCACCCCTAAGCAACATCCATCTCCCCAAACGACCACCCCTAAGCAACATCCATCTCCCCAAACGACCACCCCTAAGCAACATCCATCTCCCAAACGACCACCCCTAAGGAACAGCCATCTCCCCAAACGACCACCCCTAAGCAACATCCATCGCCCCAAACGACCACCCCTAAGCAACATCCATCTCCCCAAACGACCACCCCTAAGCAACATCCATCTCCCAAACGACCACCCCTAAGCAACAGCCATCTCCCCAAACGACCACCCCTAAGCAACAGCCATCTCCCCAAACGACCACCCCTAAGCAACATCCATCTCCCAAACGACCACCCCTAAGCAACAGCCATCTCCCCAAACGACCACCCCTAAACAACATCCATATCCCCAAACGACTAACCCAAAGCAACAACCTTCTCCCACAGCGACCACCCCTAAGCAACGGCCATCTCCCCAAACGACCACCCCTAAGCAACAGTCATCTCCCCCAAACGACCACCCCTAAGTAACAGCCATCTCCCCAAACGACCACCCCTAAGCAACAGCCATCTACCCAAACGACCACTCATAAGCGACAGCCATATCCCCAAACGACCACCCCTAAGCTATTGCCACTTTCCTAAACGACCACCCCTAAGCAGCAGCTATCTCTACGAACGATGACACTTGAGTTTTAAATATTTTGAAATCATTTCCGTAGTCGATAAGAGTATAGAACATGGAAGATTGTTGCCAACTTGTTTGACAGATTCTTTTCCAAGCTTTCATTGTCGTATATTATTATTGTGCGTATTTTTTAACTCTGGCTTGCCGTAAAATGTACTAATGTGTTTTTGTTCATATCTGTTAAATGTGATTTACGTTTTGTAGCAAGAAAGATCCAAAGCAAAGACGACAAGAACTTCTGGAAGGAATATCGTCCGTCCTTTTGCAGATGGTAGAGAAAAGTGCTTCAGAGTTGTTATTTGATAAGGGCGCCATCCAGCTGGTTGGAGCAGCTCTCGCAAAGTGCACAGGTAGGTGGTGTAAATATAGTGACTCAATGAGCCGAATCTCCACAGGCGCGTAATTTTAACGTGCGTACGCACTTAAATTTTACGCGCGTAAATATAATAGAGGCTATGCTTGAAGCATCGCGCGTGAAGGTTCAACTTTTACGTTTACGCGCGAGTTTTTATTTTCATTTTATTTACGCACGTAAATTTTACGCGAGTACACACGTTAAAATTACGCGATAGTGGAAATTCATTTTTAGGCTCGATTAGCGGCTACTGTTTGTCAAATGACTGAAGCTCACGCTCCCCGCCCGAAAAGTGTCTTGTAGGAGAGCGTAAGAGCAGGCCCGAGAGAGTGGTACAAATCGAACCTTCCCTGAGCTCAGGAAGTAAAAGTAACAAAACGACCACAATTTCCCATGGTCTACACTCTTACAGACCATAGGAATGACGTCATAAAATTTTTAAAACTCAAGTGGAACCACGAGCAACAGGCAAGTGGTTTCACTGCAAAGTTTTAAACATTTTATGATGTCATTTCTGTGGTCTATAAGAGTGTAGACCGTGGAAAATTATGGTGGATTTGTTTTGTACAATAATATTGATTTTTTTACAAAAAGCCAAAAACAAAACAACCGGCACTGCGTGACATGTTACGTCATTTCCATGGTCTATACTCTCATAGACCTTAGCTCTCGACCAATCAGCGCGCATGGATTCGCTCAGTTGTCGTAAAAAAATGTTGCAGTCACCGTATCGTTTTTTCTTACGTAAACGCTGGGAGTGTGACTTCTCTCTACACAAATGGGGCCTTTGTTCCTCTAATAAGACAACTGCTAAACCGCTGTACAGTCTTACTGAAGGTACTTGCCCGTCAATTGATTTGCTTTTATAGGCGATGTCAAGCCCGCAATGGTTGCCATATCCAATTTGGCCGGCAGGGATCTGGATCCTACCACTGCTGACGAGGTATGGATAAACTACGGTATTTTTTAAAGCTGCTTTGTGAAATGTGCAAACTCTCTCTGCCTAAATGACAAAAATAGTGGTAATGACTGAAAAAGCCACCGGTCTTTTTCCGGATTTTCTTTGTCTACAATAACCTCAAACGATCCATGACTGGATGGTTTTGAAAGGAGCGTAATCATCGCTGTTGCGGGCGACGAGAGTAGCCCACAATCCTAAAATTCAGGTTGCTATTGCGCATGCACCGTACTAATGTAACAACTTCCACAAAGATTGAATGGAATACATAGAACGCAATCTGATCACGAGTATTTTGACCACCTATCACGTGAAACTTACGCAAAGCACAGCGCTGGGGCAAAAACGTCTTGATTTTCGATTGTTGTCGCCCGCACTCTGTAACATTCGGCTGTTACTAGTTATGCAGGGTTGTCATTAAGAGCCGGGGGCCGGGGATTTTCCCCGGCTACTAAGAGAGTGGTCCCCGGCTACTTTTATTGGAAAATAGAAGAAAAATAGAACCAAAAGAAATCCCTAGCCGTTTGATTCCCCGCCTACTTGTTGTATTTACCCGGCAACTTGAAATCTTAGTGACAACCCTGGTTATGTGTCGTAATTTTCTTCTTTTTTACTATATCTGTTACGTATTTTTAGGACCATGTTATCAAAAGCGCTGCTGGTCATTTAGCTATAAAGAGACTCATCATTCACGACAACGAAAGATTTCAATCTGGAAGCGAAGGTACAGTAAAGCTTTTCTGTTCTTTTCTGTAAAAGTTTAAATGTAGTCGGTTTTTTTAAAGGAAGGGAGCTGGGGAACCCAAAAGCAATCCATGAAAGGAAACGCCCCGCATTTGTAGGATTCGTTTTGTATTTAGCTAAACTACGGTCAAACCTGTCCTCTAAGAGACGCCTCTACAACGCACATAGCGTATTTCCTCGAATAATAGCCGCCCCTCGATTAATCGCTTCCCTCGAATAATCCCCTTTTTCAGACAATTCGCGTGGCACCGAAGAGCCAAATTCATAAATTACCTATCGCAGACGCTTTCCTATTCCAACCAGTCCTCTTGGTCCCAAAATGCCAAACTTATTTGTACGTAAGTTTGCGAAGCACGAGCCATGAAACTTCCCATCTAACGAATGTAAGCTAGGAAAACATGTAGTTCAAGTCTCCTTGCACTCAAATCCTCGTCTTGAAAAAGAGGCTTGGGACTATTCAAAAAGGGCGCTCTATTCACTGACAGTGAATTAGGGAGGATCTTTGCGGACCTGTATGACTTGGCGGCTGCCGCTGTTGTTCCCCACCCTCTAAGTTGGTTTTGACAATGTAACATAGACCCAGGGGAGGTTTTGTGTCCAGCGGTTTTAGTGAAAACGAGCGCAAGGGTTTGTGGGGGTTGCTTAATCTCGCGAGCCCACACAACCTCCCTTATGTCGATCATATTTTGTATTTGCCTCTAACAGCCTAGGGCGTTATTTGTAACGTATTTTCTTTTCCCCTTTGGTGTAGGTCAGGTGTTTTTCAGCAAATTGCTGCTTGAAAATATCAAGCCAGGTGCATTTTTTGAATGGTGCAAGATAAACAGAGGCGCTTTTGTCGTAGCAAGGTATGTTTATGGTCGTTTTTACCTTCCCAGTCATTCACATCACCATGGCTCATTGCTCACCACCGTATAAATTCCACACGATCTAGTACAAGAACATCAGCGCTCTTTATTGACATGTGAATGAGACAAATTTTTACTGTAAAACTCTGTATACCCGATCTTGGACACCCATTCCCTTGGCTGTCGTTTTCCCGAATTTAATAATTTGTGCACCGTTTCCCTCATTTCCACAGGCGGTGCTTTTAACCCGCTCAAAATCTAATTTAAACCAAAACCACCGTCCGTTTACCTCATTTAATAGGGCGTCGGTCTGCAAAGCAAGGGAGGGTGCGAATGGGGTTAACAGTTAACTGATATTTGGCCAAACAAATAGTAGTTAACTGATAATTGGCCAAAAAATTAGTAGTAAACTGAGAATTGGGTACCCCTATTAGCACCCTCAGGGGCCGTGGGTTTGAAACCTGGCTGCACCACCAGCACGGGACTTTTAAAAATCTAGTTAGCTCTTGCCAGCTTCGACTTCAGATCTTGTCTTAGCTCAGGGCTTGATCGTCCTCATTGGGTGTTGTGGCTAATTCGTTGGTCTCGCCTCCTTCGCCCTTTTCTTATCAATGCGAAGAGGAAGTTAAAGAATCCACCCTGGTATGCGGAAAGACCAGAGGAACGTAGACCACGGTGGTGTGGTCTGTCTAACTGTGGGAGGGAACGCAATAAGTGGCTTTGTGCGGTTGCGGTTACCTTGGTAAGAATCGGCAAAGCTGTCAAATTAAATACCACGCTTAAGTGAAAACCGCCTAAATGACTTCAAACCTTTAACTGCTCAAAAATGCGTTTTTAATGTACTACAGAATTCAGGTTTGCAACTTTTAGCTGCAGAAAGAATTATAAGACACTTTGTTAGAGCACTCCTCTGTTTGTTTGTTCTAACAAACGTTTCTGCCGTAATGTTTTATTTTCAGTTTGCTTGAATCCTCTGTTCCAGGAGTGTCAGAGGCCGTGAAGGCAGTGTTACAATCACGTGTCAGTAAACTGAAGAAATTCGAGTCTAAGGGACTAGAGGTCGTACTAAAACTACTTGAAAACTGATTTTTTTTTTAAAAGAAATTTCATTGCCATATTATGACAATGAGATTTCCGCCGCGAATAGTGGAAAAGAGAATGCAGGGGAAAGCATGTGAAAAAAGAGAAGGTTGGGAAAGGAAAATGGGAGAGAGGAGGCAAGCCCTCTTGGAAAGCAAACCGTGAAAGAATACAGGTAGCCTGTTATCTGTTTGGAGAGGCTTATGAAAAAGTGAAAAGAAAAGAAAAGAAAAGAGAAGAAATCTGAGAGGACAAAACGACAGGGAACGAAATGAAAGAAAGAAGTGTTCTGTGCAAACGGATATGGAAAAAGGAATTAAAGGGAGGAGCGCATTTCAAAGCAGACATAATCTGGGGCATTGTAAAAAACAGCGATCAGAGTTACAGTGAGAAAGAATACGCCAGAAAAGACTAAGAAGCGGAAAAAGTCAGAGTGGAGAAAAAGTGTTGATGTTAAAACAAAAGAACGAAAATCAATAGTAGAAGAATAGTTGACAACTCTTTAAGTTGCGACCAGGTTGGTTGCCATGGCGCCTAAAATTTTGAAGCTGGCGACTTGATTTGTAAAAAAAGTCTTCCTAAACCAAAAGAGTTGGTTGCCAAATGCCGGTCAAGTAAAAATTTTAACTTGAAGGGCTGGTGGAAAAAAATAATTATGATAGAAAACGAGGAGGAGGATAACATTTTTGTTATTATTTTATTCCACCAAGGCACACCAAGCAACAACATCAAAACTATACAGTCTTTATACATTTGTGTAAATGTTTAAGAATGAAATAAACCCCTTTGGACTGAATGAAAGCACGTATAGAAAAGAGTTCAAAACATCCGTTTGAATTTACAACGGAAGGCATCTAATTACACCGATTCAGAAAATACTTGTGTTTGAACAAAATTATGAAGGCATCTGTTGACAAAAGCTCTTTTAAAGCGCTCTGTCTCAAACAAATGCAGCAAATGGGAGAACAAAGTTATGACTCCTCCCTCGTGCATGCTGAGTTCTGCATGAGGAAGGTAATCAGTCAAACTTTCTAGTACTAGGCTAATGGAGATGTGCCGCTGGATGGGGGTGGCATTTTTACGACTGGATTGACTATAAAGTGGTTGCATTTTCAATAGAGTTACTAAGTCCTGAGAGTAATCAACATCAATTTTCTTCAAAAGGTTATGAGAGGTTTTTTATTTTATTTACGGGAGGGAATGGATTTCAGTCTGGAGAATTTGTATGTGGATATCGAGACTTGACAAGGTTACCAATTTTGCCCAAAGTAACTTGTTACCGGTTCTAATCGTTTCAGTTACTGATGGGGCCCAACTTTACTCCTCGCTGAAGAAATAAGTCCATTTTACTAAGATACTTGAATACCTTGTTGTGTTGAATTTGAACAAGGTCTCTCAGTTATTTGCTCATCTCTACCTAACTTTATACTTTAAATACGTCTGAGGAAAAACAGAGGTCTTTTTTGTTGTTTCCAATCATGAATGGGAACACTGATTCTGTAACACACATAATCTACCAATCACAATATGGTATCCATAACGACTATGCTACGACTGTAGTGAAATTGTCATGTTGGAATTGAATTCTCTCTCGCAGTTATTCGCTTGTCTCTACCTATAATTTTATGTTTTAAATAGTTCTGAGAAAAATAGGTCTCTGTTTTGTTTCCAGCCATTGCAGTAGTATCCGTAACGACTATTGTATCCATAACGACTATTCTATGACTGAACTGAAAGTTCAGCCCGGCCCTATGAATTTTTTTCCCTTTTCACAACCATGGTTACTCTCTTTTTCTCCTGAAAGGGAGAGGAAAATAAAGTTGACATTATAATCGATTGAACTGCGGGATGGATAAATAAATGGAGAGAGAAGATGATCTTCTCTGCATTTATTACAGCATGTCCTGTTTAAAAAACTATTTTTTCCGAGCTACTGTAATGGAGGAAAGTTAATTAGAGGTTTTTCTCCGGGTATTCCGGTTTCTCCCTCTCCTCAAAAACCAGCAGTTCCAAATTCCAATTCGGCCAGGAATCAGGTAGACGAAGAACCACTATGTGGATGTGCTACCTGCAAATCGTTATTATTATTATTATTATTATTATTATTATTATTATCATTATCATCATCATTATTATTATTATCATTATTATTAAATTGCTAGAAGAGTGGTTAGAGCGCTGGACTTGCAACATAATACACCCTTTCGAGTTTTTTTCTCTTTCCCCGCCGCGTCTCGCCCTTCTCGCATGGAGTGATTTTCACGCGCGTTCGCCTCTCTACTACTCGTACTCTACTTTTGACGTTGACAAGTTAGCGAAAATTTGTCGACACCACTGGAAAGAGCGTCTTAAAATGAGTAAAATTGCCTAGTTTGAAAGTGATTACTAAAACTATTACTAAAACGTACAGATGCTTACTAAGACTATTACCTGTATGAAGCAGCCAAATTGTTGTTGTTGTTGTTGTTTCTTTCACTGAGTCCCTTCTGGAGGTAAGTCTACTCTCGAAAACCTGCGAATTTTAGAAAAAAATGTTTATTACGGTTAGTTTACAACGGCAACAGCATTTCACTTCATCTATCAGAATTCTTCAGCTTTGTTGTTTTCTTTGGCAAATCGATCTTTTTAGCTTGTGTGCTTTGTTTCCTCATGTTAGGTCACGTGATGATACCCCGGAAAACTTTTCTTTCTATTGTTGTCCTATACGCTACGTCCACATTTCCCATAATGCACCTTATTTCCCCTCAAATTTTTGCATAAGCATTGTTTTCAATTTCTCTTGGGACGGCTGTGATACCCGGGGGAAATGAAAAACAAAGGTTACGCAAAATTTTGGGGGACAAATAAGGTGTATTATGGGAAATATGGAAGTGGCCTGTAGAACGTTTTCGCATGACGTCACGGCGGCCATGTTGATGTTGGTGAATTAATGGTTAAGTAGCTGTATAAAGCCCGGCTAACACATGCTTCTTGTTAAACGTTATACACTGCGTACTGGATCATTTAGTGTCCCTTCCCCCTCCCTGCAAGATATTTAGCTACTATCATATGACCCGTACGGCCCCGCGCGCAATCTTGTTGAAACTATATCGAAAAAAAAATCCTGTATGAGGGCCGAACGCGTCAAGTGATAGGGACGGGAAAACGCTTGCGGCCCTGCTTAAAAAGCGTACTGATCGATGCGGGTTCGCTCCGTCAGAACAATTTTAAAAAACACAACGGTCATGTGATAGAATACTTATTGACTGAGTTAGGTCGGGTCGGAAGGTGAAATATTTGGCTCTCGGTCAGGACGCACGGACCTCACCATGTTTTCCTGCCCGGCCCTCATCATTATACTTTTCAGGGAAACTGCCCACCTCCCCCTCCCCTGAGCCAACGTTTTGCCAGAAGTGAGAGGTAAGCGTTAATGTTGGCTGAGGGGAGGGGTAGGTGGGCAGTTTCTCAGAAACGTATAATGATTCGAAATCATCCTTACCTCTTTTTTATCCTGAACATAAATATTGTGGTGATGACGGCGCTCAGAACCAGAAAAAAAATACTCAAAGACCAAGTTGCCACGATAGTGTTCAACTTCTTTTCTGTTGTTAAAAGAGAATAATATGGTCACTGGTTGGATACTTACTTCACTAAGCAAAGAAAACCTCACAGTACTCCTTTCTCACGTCACGTTAGCGCCATTTTACTGGGGCTGTCCGAATTGCGCGGTGGTGTAATGCTAAGTGCCCCGGTTTTCGGATCGAAAGGTATTGTGTTCTTAAACAAGACGCATGCTCACAGTTTAATTAATAGTTTTCGGTGACCGTTTTCCACAATAATGGAAGCCCGAAATGGAGGAGAATGATATTAGAGACTCGCGAGGGTTTTTAATACTCCATCCCGGGAATAAAAGAAAATGTCTGTTATAGCGAGGTCTCCGTAGTGAGCGCATCACCGTAAAGCGGCCCTTTTGAGGGTAAACTAATCCTTAGTGAACGGCTAATATGCAAATGGCGCTTCAGCTAGCCGTGAACAGTTTTGCTTGCCCGCTCCGGATTTTCCCCCTGTTCGTAATAATGGCTGGTTCAAAGGAAACAATTTTTTTTTTTTTTTTACAGTTAGACGTAATTAACACTCATTGACTGGTCTCGCGGGAAACAGTTAATTTTGCTTTCCGAGAATCGATTCGTCATAGATTTTGCAATGTTGCCTGCTCAGAGATTTTGCGGGAAACAGTTTAACTGTTGGATGTCATGTGACCTCGAAGTAACCAATGAGAGCGCGCGCTGTTGGGAAAAAAAATGCCAGCTATATAACAACAAAGATTGTTTTTACAGGGAGCCCACGTCACGAATGTGGTTTTGAGTGGGACCCTGCTGTTGCTGTTTTATTGTCGACATTTGTTACAAATTAAAATGCTTTTGTTACAGCTGTTGTTGTTCCATGGAGACCTCATGTTTGTTGCCTTTAAGGGGGCACATATATGACGGCAGAAAACCAACAAAAATATCTGTTATTGAGTTTTGCGATGACAGTCTCAAGTCGTGATTCGAAAAGCTTATGAAAATTAAAATTGATACCTATTCCAATAAAGGGATTGTTCAGATAACAAAACCTTGAATTAAAACTAAGTCTTCTTGTAGTTTTCAACCTACGTGGCACCTTTCTCTTGTGCCTTTTAAACGCTGTGTCACGCAAGGCTTAAAAATTTGAGCGTAACCGCCCTCGATCACGAAACGAAATACTCTGCGAGCAGGAAGATCAAAGGGCCTCTGCTCGCTGGGAAGAAGCGAAGAGACTTTCAGAACTAAAAAGTCTGTGAAAAGATGCACGAGTGTTTAAATGCTTTATTCCTTCTTTTAATTTCGAAGTTTAGATGCACAAATGCTGTTGTTTTTGTTGTTGTTTTGCTGCGATGGAGACGCCATGTTGGTGTCAGAAACACCTGTTGTTGTGTTTTTCGTTCCTGGAGTGAAGAGCTAATCAACATTAAAGTTAATTATTAGTCTAATAAGGAAAGCTCAGAAGGCTGAATAGACCTATTCGGCTAATTCAATGTTTTACCCAATTCAAACCCTTTAAGAATAAAACGTATTGTTTCAGGAATTTCCATATCACTTAATCGTGAATGCACGTTATGATGCAAATACAATACACAAAGAATCTTAACCCCGGGAGATTTGAATTGGGTACAACACTGAGTTAGCCGAATAGGTCTACGATATAATTCTTTATTTTGAATTTTGATGTTTTCAAGCAAAGAGTGCCTTTATTTGAGTGAAAAAACTCTAGAGCAGGCTTTTTTGGCGCCGTGAATCCCTGACAAAAGTCCTAAGAAGATTTTCGGTCAGCCATAAAGCAAAAGCGTGGAGAAATGGTCTATGACGACTAGCTCTCGCTCACTAAAACGGCACACTCTAAACAAACGTTTTAGTCCTCCATTTTCGGACCAAGTGTAATCGATTTAAGATGTGTTTTTTAACTTCAATTAACACGATTTTCAGTTTCCCCTAATTCTTGTGAACGGTACCTTAGACCGTTTTGCTTTGTTATTTGGGATGTCGTATACATGTATATATAAGCACTACTCCTTTTCAAGAGGTATTTTTGGTTGTTTTCTTAACTCTTGAACATGTATCGTCATTGTGATCATGTCGAATTAAGTACAGCTGCGAACTGTATCCCGAGAATTTCTCGCAAGAAGTGCTCGTCTGGGAACAAAGGCTATCCGGGAAAAAAAACTAAAAATCGTAGAAAACCCGCTTCTGACCAATAGATCGCATTTTTTACAAAAAAAAATGCCGCT